GTTAAAAGCCCAAGACGCTGCACTCTTCTGTACTAAACAGCTACAATTAGGTTCTGCCCAGCACATTGCACCATGTTGAGCAGCAGAACAATTAAACTGTCAGGGCAATAAAACCCAGACAGCAAGCCCCAAGCTCTTCATTTTTGCACCCCTGCGGTGAATTGAGATTATCGGTCCTACATGGCAATATGCAGACCTCCTGTAAAAACAGGTGTATCTTTTGTCTGCCTCAGTGGGTCTGAAAACAACTTAGAGGGAGCCGTGAATACAAATCAAAATAAAAAAACAACACTATTTTTGACTGACTATTGTTCTCATTATTGTAATCCTGGGAACAGAGTTCACATTTGGGTCATTGCAGAGTGTTAAACCTATTCACTTTGGTTTGTAATAAACAGATACACTCATTCGTAGATTACAAGTGGAGCATGTGGAACCCTAAACATAAACAAAGGCGCGAGACTGCAGTGTGTTTTAAATATGACTAGAGTATATTTAGCAGGGAAATTAAACTAATGTCATAGTAAAATACAGCAGCATAGAGGATGCTTTAGCTCTGCATGCACAGCTCCTTACCTTGCTTGAGGCACTTTTTCACTTGAAGCTGAAAGTAGAATCTTTCCATCCATTAATGCTATTCTTTTAGACTCGTATTTCGGGCCAAATTTCAACGATCATTTATTCCTCTTCAGAGAGAAGTCAGATTAAAAAAAATACACGACTTTTACCATAAAAATAAGAAAGTGTTGGGTAAAAAGCAGGTGTTACATAGTCGTTCTCGGTCCGAGCAGTGGATCAAAACAAAATAACATTAATCCTCGGCATCCAATGTTATCAGACTTCCTTTGGAAATACTTTGCGGTTTCAATAAAATCCATACACCCATGCCACCTTCATGAGTACGACATCATCGCATTTAAAGTCCATTTAAACTTCCCACGCCTTGGCTGTTAAGTCCGCAATCGTCTGTGTCCAAACTTGCTGGAAGTCCCTTTAATCATAAGTGAGAGTTTATGATTAACTTAATAAATGTGTAGAAATGTCCCTCGGTCGACGCAGTGTACATTTATCATCAAACAGGCGCAAGTTTCACTAGAAAGAGAGCACACAGTGCACGTTTAGTTAGAGCCCTACTGTTGATACTCTCCCCGTGTCTCTCCTCCCATTACTATCGTCCCCTCCTCCTGCTGGAGGCCACCATCAAGTCAAGCACAATATAATGATTATACTTCCTGTTGAACCTTTCAAAATAAAACCCTCGCTGACGAACGGTTGGGCACACGTTCAGTTAAAATGGTTAAAATGTGTACATTAGTGCTAAAACCATTTTTCAGGTAGCATCCTTTATCAAACAGTTTCAGTAATTTATGAAAATGGCATTTTTTCCCTTCTCATGCTTCTCAATTGTAAGATGTGCGGTTGTTTATCAAGAAATTAAATTGATATTACCTGAAGATAAGGACATTTTCCATATTTGTATGAACTACCTTCTTAAGTAATTGATAATTGCAAAAAAATAATCAGCAGATTAATCATTTAAGTTTTTTTAGGAGACATTAAGATGTCACAGGTGTTAAAATGCAAACATCCATTTAGCCTAATTCTATTTAGCTGCTAGTTTAGGGGTCCTGATACTGTAAAAGTGACGACATCCACAGAAACAGACAGAATGGAGCGACATGTAAATGTTGTTAGCAACCCATGTGTGTTTCCTGCTATTATTCCGAATAGCCTTAATGCCATAAAAAAAGTATTGAATTACATTTAAATTTGTTTTCTATTTCATACTCTTCTGATTTTAGAGTCAAATGTGCTGCTTTGTCATGATCAGATACAACCATCATTATTATGACAAAATGGTAAACCCAGACATGTAAACTTAATAAAACGTTGTATTTTTTGTTGTACATTTCTTGAAATGTTGCACGGAAATTGTTTGTCGAAGCATAATAAGTCTGTGGGAAAGGCTAACAATTCATGGTTTGAACAAAAACGCTTTTATGTTGAAGAGAAAGTAACCCACTTCCGCTGGTTTGCCACCTGTTTCCGTGTGGCTTGATGCAGCTGCTGGGGCTTAAGCGCCTCAGACAAAAGCGCCTGTTCATGGGAAATAATTGGGGATCGTAACAAAAGGCAAAAGCACACCTAAAGGACACACATATGTCTCAGGACCGTTTGGTACAGCATCCAACATAATGTAAATAAGACATATGGTTGTTAGGAGATATATCTAACCTTCCAGTGTCAACATGTATAAGAAAAGGGTTTAATATTGAAAATGTCATTTCAAATACAAGGTACCAAATCCTTAAAATGTTCCCATAAGGACTAGTAACGGTATTCAATATAATGATTAGTTCACTGTATATATATATATATATATATATATATATATATATATATATATATTTATATATATATTTATATATATATATATATATATATATATATATATATTTATATATATATATATATATATATATATATTTATATATATATATATATATATATATATATTTATACCTAAGTAAAAGTAGAAAACATTTAGAAATACTCTGTTCAAAATAAGAGTCATACATTAAAACATATTTTTAGTAAGTATAACATTATTAGCATCCAAATATAGGCCCACTTCTGAATATAATATGTTATATTATTGGATTTTAATTATTGATGTATTGTTTATCACTTTAATGGTGCAGCTGGTAAAGAAAAAGCATATTTTATTCACCAAGGCTTTTTTTTCTCATCAAGGAATCAATTAAGTTTATATTGACTTATGTTATAATGCATTATACATCATTTGATGATTACTTGGTAAGCTCTGAATCAAATTGATAGTAAAAGTACTCTGCCTCTGAGTTGTAGTGGAGAACTGGGAAAGTCCAAAGTTAAAATTATACTTACAGTATTTGGGTAGATATAGGAACAACTTAGTCTACCACTATGGTTATCAGTTTACACTATATTAACTAAGTAAGTTCACATGCTAAGTTAATGGAAAGTCAAGTGGAGAAATATGAACCCTTCTTAAGAATGCAATCTATGTCTCCTAAAATATTTGACTATTGTTATTCTAAACACCTGAATGCCTAGAATACTTAAGTACAAGATCTGAGTACTTATTCCACCTTTGCTAAAACCCCGAATGGCAATTCAATATATTAGGCCAAAAGCTAATTTAGCATAGCTTTAACGTTACCTAACCAGCGCTTACAAACGGCTGAGATTCAAAATGTTAGCTCAGCTATAGCTAGTTAGTTAGCTTTCCGTTAGTTAAAGTCGCAAGCTAGCAAGAGCGAGTTCATATTTGATTCATAAACCTTATATTCATTACACCAATATTCATTATGTATTTATTACTAAAAAGGCAACCCAGCTTGCAATTTGGCTATGATATATTTGGTAACTGAGGTGTTTATATACCTACTATTGATTTAGGCTAATATATGCTAAATCTTGAGGGAGGATACTTCTGTCAAACACTTTACTTTTCACTTCTTTGCCATGTCAGAGACTTTTGTTCAATTTGAAAGACCCTATCAAAAACGGTCAACCTTGTTTAAACAGAGTGATACATTTAGGGATTACAAAAAAAAATAGTAAGAAGTTTTAACATTTCTTACCTCAAAACCACGTCTTTGACCTTGCTGCAAATTGAGAGGAATGTTACTTGATAATAGTTGATTCAATCTCATACGGCTGACGGGTTTGCACTGCAGTCGTTGGTTAAATGGGGGACACTCACTGGGGAACTGTATATGAAAAGCATGATGAAAAGGGACACATTACAGTTGTATCTTGTTTACCCTAGTTTGAATTAAAATAACCAATCATGTGTCAGTCTGTGTCGCCACAAGGGGGTGATATTGTCCTTCAGTAATACTGCTAAATGACAACCTCTTTTTTTAAATGATCAAACACTGGCATTAGTGTTTGGAGAAGTACTCTCAGATCCTTTACTTAAATAAAAGTACACATACTATGGTTTTAAAAGAACTCCATTACATGTAAAAGTCCTGATTTTAAAATATTACTACAAGAACAACGGAATAAGCAACAACATTTAGTAAAAGTACATGAAGTAAAAGTACTATCTGCACAAAGGCCAGAATGTACTTATACTTCCCACTACTGTCGGGAATAATGCAGTTAGTCCTACAGAAAACACATGAATAATTAATATGATCTTCTCTGTGAGCATACTGTTAAATTATTAAAATATTCATTCACTATAACACATGTCATTATCTGCCTTCCTGTAAAGCATAAGCTCATAAAGTCAAAAGTATAAAATAGCAACATGCAGGAAGATATTGGATTGAATAATAGGTTGTTGTCTAAATCTCTGTCTTCTGTAAGTGATTTTATTAAATGTAGCCTGAGTGCGAGTGATTCCTGTAAAGATTCAGCTTTCAGCCTTTCTGAAGGTTTAATTCTTCTGAATTTATTGCCAATTATTTAATGGTTTGAGGATGATTGATTGGACCCATTTGTTAGTAAGAAACAAAAATAACACAAGCAACTGTCCTTGAAAATATGCAGTAAAACAGCTGGTGGCCAAGCATCCTACATTAGTGTAAACAAGTGCGCCCTTTACTGGCAATGTGTTTTACAGATGACATTATCCTGCAAAGGAAATTGAGGTGGTAGCCTTTCATCAGCACAATTTCCAATTATGTTGAAATTGATGAGTTGATGGCCGATTAGAGAAAATGTTTTTACGTCTGGTTAACATGTCTGCGTACCTTCTATTTGACAATGCTTTCTCTGACAGGCCAGGTGCACCATATGGTGGATCAAAGGATTGGCATTGACATGAAGTCCGCCAAGAAAGAACAACTCTTAACGTTAATGGAAAACTAACCAGAGGGTAGAGCAAACTGAGTGATACAGTATTAATCATATTGTGGACAAAACGAATAATGTATTTTTATTAAATATCTGTTATCTGCTACAAAATGATGCAGGTCATTCACTGAGCCTATTCATGAAGGCCTTGCATGTTTACCTTTATTGGCATAAGAATATATTAATTACAAGACATTGCAAAGGTTTCTATGAGTTTTCTCTATTATCAAACAGATCACAAAAAATGTACCAACTGTATACAATTATATTTGACATGAAAATAGCTGACTACTAAAGAAAAGTCCTGTTTTTGTACATACGCAGCCAATTTGGTTAAGCTCCTATTAATACTGTACTAAAAGCTAAATAACGTTATGTTGTATAACAACTCAGTGTAAAGCTTTAGTTTGGATAGATGTTCTTAATTTAAAAAAATTAAAAAAATCGTCAAATTACAGTTTTTTTTATTTATCAAGCTAGCAAAACAAATATACAAACAATGTCGGATTCTGTTTTAACTTCAAGCAGCAGGCTGGAATCCTCTACCTCAGAGTATAAAGCTATGACAATAACATCAAAATCATTCAGATTCAGATGCAAGTAATTTACAGAATCCATTCAAGCATATTTTCTTTCAATAATCAGTGCACTTAAATTAGCACAAGCAGAATATTAGGAGTATATGCGAGTACAGGAAGACTGTAGATGAAGCTGTGGGGTCTATCAGTCATCAAAGTCTGGGATATCATCATAGGAGTAGCCCCGGTAGCCTCTTGATGCACAGTAAGCTATTCGTAGGTGGTAAATCCCAGGCAGGAAGACAAGTATCCCAATGATAAGGACAGGCACAGTTCGGTCTGAGTGCTGAAGGAGAGAAAAATCATTTGAATAAGAGGTCAGTCTATTCCTCACTCTGTAAAAATAACTCTGTGGCTTATACAATACTCACAGTGACTCCAAAATATCCCGCCAGGAGAAGGGAGCCGATGATGATTAACAGAGAGCCGATTAAGAAGAGGACTGTGGCAAGTGCAATGGCTTTGTATGGGACTTTGGGCGGGCTCTTTTTGAACTGCAGAGGAGAAATATTTGATTAAAAACACTTTATTTCACACATCACTTTCTGTCACAGCGGGCTTTCTGTGGCAATTCCCATTTTCTCACCCACGTACTGAAAATGACAGGCAAAATGAGCGGCTTAAAAGGTAATTTGAGATTTTGAAAATGTCATTCAAGTGTGTGACTAATTGAAAAACACTTTATATTATAAAGCTATCTGACTGTCATGTAACATAATGTGCTTGATGATGGAAATGTTTTGGTATGCATTGCGTATTTTGTGACTAAATCTGTAGTAAATATTCACAAACCCGTTGATAAAGTTATTTCTGTTAATTTAAAGGGTAAACCTATTATTATTACACACAAATGTCATTACAATAACCCTGATGATTGAGTTATATCAGTTTGGGTTTTGGTATTATAAATGTATAACGAAAAAAAAGCGTTACAAAGTTTACACATTTTTTAAATATGTGCTCTTTATTTTCCATTGTAATTCACCATACACCAAAGCAAATTCCTTGCATGTGATTTCTGTTTTCATAGTTATTCCTTTTTATGAATGGACTTGTTTGACATATGGTGAAAAACACTGATGGTGCAGACAATATAGGTAGCAATGACATTAATACAATACTTCTTACCTGTAAATCAATGTAGCCGTCATCATCAGAGGAAAGCCTGGAGTACCTCACTTTGCTGTCAGGGAAGCTGTTCACAGCGTTACGAGCAGGCATCTTCTTCTTTAGCTGCTCAGGAGCATAGACTGTTAAGATGCTCAAATGCTAGCTCACAGTTTGTTTGCAGTGTTATAATAAGCTTACAGTAGCATTATCGACACCATTATCATTCAAAACCTGCCTATACCAGAGTCAGGTATAATATTACAACAGATATGATGCACGATCGTTATTATCTACTTAAAATAGTTTTGAGAGGAGATTACAGCGTGTGTTTTCAGTATCTTCTCACACTCTTCCGGGTTTCTACTCCAGTCTGCACTGCGCATGCGCTCACCGAAGCTCATTATTGGATATTGTGGAAAGCTCAAAAACAAAACACATTTTACACAAAATATATCAAACAAATCAATATTTAACAAAATTCCAAAAGAAGTTTTTGCAATGATAAACAAGAATTTTTTTAACGCATCAATTTGAATTTGTTTTCAAATTCAGTCACTTTTTTTACTCAAATGAAAGATACTATATTGTGACTAAGTCCTTGTACCTTAGTTTCAATGTTTTTTCTTTCTTAAACCTTAAAAGATAAGCCCCACCCTCCAAAGTAATCTGTAAATAAATATTTAATATATTTTCAAAAGTTAGTCTAATGACAGTGAGTTGTGAAATCTCCGTTTTCTAAAGAAAAGTGTTCCTAATGGGGATTTTCACTGCTCCTCATCGACCACAGGAGGACGCTGCAGAATCTTCTTGAAGTGACCAGGTCACAGAGAGCAGCAGACTGAGGCAGTTTCTCAATCTCGAGGATACTGGCTTCCAAGCCAATATTTCAAGGATGCTACATCATCGAGTGCCGCCGAAGTACTGTTCCAATCTCCAGCATACTTGGAATTCCACCGACGCCGCGTCCTTGGTTTGGGGGAAATGTAGAGGCTGCACATGGTAGACTTCGCGTCCTTAAAATCCCCACAATGCTTTGCGCACGGACCAATTTAAAAAAAACTTGCGGAGAATGGCTGAACCGACGCAGCACACATTTAAATGTAAGTATGTAGTGGCGTAGAACATGTGTTGGTAAATATAGTTACTTTGTTAAATTTGTTATCACCAAAAATGTGCTCCGTGAAAGTAAAGCAAGTTCATAATTAGATAGACATCGTGAGGTATTTATTTTCGGTACAGTTTATGTTGAAACCGCTAGAGTGGCACACTTGTTAGCCTGTTCCATTCTTCTTCGTTTTCCGAAGCCGTGGCTTGGAAGTATACTTGCTTCGTTTCTGAAGGAAGTGACTTGGAAGTACGCGACTACCAAGCCAGCATCCTCGAGATTGAGAAACGGCCTGACACTCCAAGTCAAGATTAATCTCTTTGTGTGGAGTTTCATTTCCTGAGGTGTTCTCAGAGGCCAGTTTTATTATCACACTGTGTTCTCTGAAGATAAGGTTTCCGTCAGTCCTGTTATGAAGACTTTTTATAGCCAGGGATGCAATTTTGTATAATCACACACAATATATATTTCACATACTTGCATTGACATTTTTACCATACAAAATAATTAGCATTGGCAGAGTCTACAGATTAAAATCAAACATGATTATTTATTCTAAATCAGCGACTTTTCTCCAAAAATGACACATTAATAAATCTCTTTGATATGTATTATTTATCCAATCGAGTCCCAATTCAATATGCTACGCAGATTTCACAACTCACTGTCATTAGACTAACTTTTGAAAATATATTCAATATTTATTTACAGATTACTTTGGAGGGTGGGGCTTATCTTTTAAGGTTTAAGAAAGAAAAAACATTGAAACTAAGGTACAAGGATTTAGTCACAATATAGTATCTTTCATTTGAATAAAAATAATCTAGCTGTTTTATATTTTGCATGGAAAGATTGGATCTCTGAGATATCAACTATGGGAGTAGCATTTTCAATTGTTAGTATGTTATCTTTGCCATATGTTGTCATCTCTCTATTCACTCACAGCAATGATCTGGTCCATGAATGACTGACTGTGAAATAGACAAATGAATATTGTTTATTTGCTGACAAATCCCCTGAAATGAATAATTAAAGCTGTTATGGTAGATTTACTGTGTTTCTTTCCCTTTTTTCTAAGTTGTATTTTTCACATTCCCCTGGTGGTGTGTGGAAAATTGGACTGTCACATAGACAAATATAGAGTCTCCTCTAGGCAGAACCCAGATAGCTTTCTTGCCCTCCAGTTACAGAGCATAGATCATTGAGCCATGCTCGGTAAAGTCAAGGATAAATGTCCACAGGTAGTAAATAATCCACAGATACTCTGAAGGGGAGTACGAATACACTAAATGGCTATTGTTGTTAATAGTTGTGCTGGAAGCGTCAATAATACTCTCATGTTGCCTTTAAAGTACATTTGCAGTGAACGAGTCTCCAGCGATTATAAAACAGTCAGTGACCTTGACTGTAAGTCTCATTGTTTTAGTTTAAGGCTGTGCTGTTGCTCTCTGGAGGGATTTAAGCCCTAAAATCATTCATCTGTCTTCCATGTTCCTGTTGTTTTACACCGCATGCAAGATGAATCACTGCTCATTATGCTGAACTCTATGTTCCCACGTCTTCTTAAAATGTCTGATGCATATAATAAAAAATTCTCCAAGCCTCTGCAAGACTGCAAGACATAATCTCTGTAAATCTACTCTGAAAACAACAGGGGATCGTCTTTGTTTATTGGGGATTCAACAAATATATTTGTTCTTTTACTGGCCACTTACAGTGGGGCAAAAAAGTATTTAGTCAGCCACCAATTGTGCAAGTTCTCCCACTTAAAAAGATGAGAGGCCTGTAATTTTCATCCTAGGTATACCTCAACTATGAGAGACAAAATGAGAAAAAAAAAATCCAGAAAATCATATTGTCTGATTTTTAAAGAATTTATTTGCAGATTATGGTGGAAAATAAGTATTTGGTCAATAACAAAAGTTCATCTCAATACTTTGTTATATACCCTTTGTTGACAATGACAGAGGTCAAACGTTTTCTGTAAGTCTTCACAAGGTTTTCACACACTGTTGCTGGTATTTTGGCCCATTCCTCCATGCAGATCTCCTCTAGAGCAGTGATGTTTTGGGGCTGTCGCTGGGCAACACAGACTTTCAACTCCCTCCAAAGATTTTCTATGGGGTTGAGATCTGGAGACTGGCTAGGCCACTCCAGGACCTTGAAATGCTTCTTACGAAGCCACTCCTTCGTTGCCCGGGCGGTGTGTTTGGGATCATTGTCATGCTGAAAGACCCAGCCACGTTTCATCTTCAATGCCTTTGCTGATGGAAGGAGGTTGTCACTCAAAATCTCACGATACATGGCCCCATTCATTCTTTCCTTTACACGAATCAGTCGTCCTGGTCCCTTTGCAGAAAAACAGCCCCAAAGCATGATGTTTCCACCCCCATGTTTCACACAACCCGGTATCACGGTGAGACGTGAACATGTGACGCTTTACCATTGCTGGGAGACGTGAAGATGTCACGGTTTCGTCTTTTCAAAACGTGAAAAGCGTGACAGCTACACGGTATTGTTAACCCATGTTAACCAGTGGAGAAATAACCGGAAATACCAAGCAAATGCTACCCCGACGTAATGATTTATTTTGTAATAGTCACACTCGATTACAGCGATTTTCTTGTTGCCCCAGCTGGTCGACACCTCTTTTAGCATAAACAAAGGCTACATTAATGTATTAAATCGATGTTAATCCATGCGTGTGGATGTGGAATTAACGGACGTGACGTTGTGCGATTGAGTTGCCAAGCAACAGCTTCGGTTCATGTTAATTTACAAACTATTCAACTACAACCGTAGTTATATTTAAAAACATGTTAGAAGGCCTCACGAAATACTTTAATGCACATTAAAATGTAAATGTGAAGGATTGTGTGTATAACAAAATACATCGGTCATTAAACGAAACCGGAAACAGACGTAGGCAAGATCCTCAGCTCGATGATTGGATGGTTATCCGTAATGCATGCTGGGATTTGGTGTTTATGTGATGTGAAATCTGAAAACGTTTTTTAAAAATACAATAATACTTTATTCCGAGTGTGCTTGCTTTACTCTTTGAAAGTCATCACATAACGGCATTGTAATACACGGTTCGGCTGAATTAAATATTACATATCTGCCGTAGTTCTCTATTTATAGAGCCCTGCTGAGAAGACTTCTGGACAAACAGGAGAACTGCCGCCAAAACTGAATACGTGACGTTGATCATAAATATATAAGCAATTATACAACATCTTACATTTATTTTTCACACAATGCGTCTCCTTGCAGTATCAACACTAATTCGGCTGACTTTTATATTTGATCCAATTGGTAGATAGGCTGTATTTAAACCATAACCGTGCAGAGCTGATAGAAAGGGACACCTGGTGGTCAAAGCACGTTATTGAATTTTATTATTTTATTATTAGATATGAATAGGATCTCTATAAAGTATATTCATTACTCGTTATTCTCTACTAATAGTTCATTAAAGACTGTATATAATGACTAGTTTGAACATCCCTTTCAAGATTTTATAAGCTAAGGTTTATTGACATATCATATTATACACAACTACTGTGTAGTTATGCAATGAATGAAAAACTTGGGTCGCAGGTTCCTCAACAGTGCATTACAAGACATCTATCAATATGTGTTTATACTCCACCATTAAACTGTCATTCTGCACATTTCTTATACTATCTACATACATCTTATAAGAGTATAATACATATGTATAATATCAGTTTAATAATAAACAAATAATAAACAAATAAGTGCTTAAACATAGTTAACATTGCAGGAAAGCAATATATTAGACGTTAAGTACTTTGTCAGGCTTAATATTTATCTGTAGATACAAATGTCACTGTGTGTGCTGTGTGATCTGCATGTGTGACCATTAAAGAATCAGAATCAGAATACCTTTATTAGTTCCACAGAGGGGAAATGTGCAGCGTTACAGCAGGAAAGAGCCACAGACAGCTTAGTGTTGCATATCTTACATGCGTTAAAAAAGTACTAAGTTAGAATAAAATAAACAATATGCTAAAAAAGTACTAAGTTATAATATATTAAACAATATGCTAAAAAAAAGATAAAAAGTTACATAATTTTCAAAAATACAGATCAAAAACAAAACGGCATATATATTGATTTAGTGGCCAGGTATAAATTACACAGTTATTAATGGCATATATATATTGCACATATTGCACAAAGTTGGTTTGTATTTAGCAGCAAGGGGTGTTATAGTCTGTGTTGTGGTGTG